CCTCTGCCCCTCAACCCGACACGATCCCCAATGGTAGGGTCCTTTTTGACCATTATTCTATTTTAAAGCCCTAACGTCAAAATGATTTCAGATGACTTTTTTCCAAATCGGAACAGAATTGAAGAATGATAAACGCTATCTAGGCAGGGAGCCACAAAGGATATCTCTTTTTACATTTGGAAATCAACTGCTGTGGCTATTATATGCAGGGAGAATGGTAGCGAGGGATCTCCACATATATATATATATATATATTAAAAAACTTCAGTTTTATTCCCCAAATTTTGCTGACAAACAGGGCAACTATACAAGCTGTCAGGCAGCTTGAATGTTCAATAAATCCCCATTTTACCAGCACGGCCTACAGCAAGGGCTTTTTGAAAACCGGCAACATGTGGTGAGCTCCGGCAGGTGAGCATACATTACCATTATCTTGGTCTTGAATTGAGTCAGATTAATATTTATAGAATAACATCATTTCCGCTATATTTAGATGAGATTGGCATAGAAGTTGGGGAATAAGATTTGAACTGTGGTCCTATGATTTAACTCATTGTTCAAATATCACAAGGTAGCATGAGGTGATTTAAAAAAGACAAAAACAAAACAGCACACACAAACAAATACATATTTACTGAATTAGATTCAATTTCAAATATATGAAGCATATGTAAATAAGACTACAACTGCATCGTATCTCTGTCACCGGTAATTTACTCCTAATTAAATGTTGAGCTGTTTCCAAAGCAGCTATTTTTCTCAACTATTATAGGTGCTCACTTGTTACTTCCTCATATACGCTTAAAGTAAAATAAATATTTTTTTACAAGACAAAAGAGCTCAGTTCTAACACAGAGCCAACATCTGGAAAACATCTTATGAGCTGAAGTCCTAAAGGGTTTGTACTCTCAACATAAGTCTACATACCTTTGTTTACACAGATTAGGAGACATCCGTTTTTTGAAGCCATGCGATGAAGGAAATGCTCGTGACTGCAGCTAAACAGCTGACTAGTAAATGTAATCCAGAGATATTGCCAAATGCACATTAATGCGAAAATGACTGGAATAATATATTAGATTCCTTAATAGATTCATTTGATCTGAACCCTGAATAAATAATAAATGCAGTTGTTTTGTTTTTTAATTGCTTTCTTATTGATCTATCCTCTCTAATCACTCCTTCTCTGTTAAATGTAAAAGGCCTTTAAGGCCAAGCTTTTACTTTTTTCTTATTTGTGTCAAATATCCACTATTTGATATGAGTTGACTTTGGTATGTAATCGTTTGAGGTGATTTTAATCTACTGTAGTGAGACTTCTCCTCTTATCAGCCAGCTGAACATATTTCGGAGACAACCTGGATCGAGTCCAGTGCAGAGCTCTGCTCTCCTCCCTGCTGTTTCCGTGTGCCAGGACGAGTGTGTAACACATGCTGATGACTCCTGATCAAGACGTAGGTCTTGGTGTACTAATAATGGAAATGTCAACAATCCATGTTTCTATTCCCTTTTAGTTGGTGTCTGAGCTGCTTCCCAGACCGTCTCCCTTCCCTCCCCAGAGGCCTCTCCCTCTCAGCCCAGCTAGAGGAGCCTCCCCCACAGTGAGTCCAGCCCGAACCCTGGTCTCCAAACCCTCCCCGGGCCTGCTGGTCATGATGCCACCTGCAGTGGGACCCAAACCTGTGGGCAAAGTCTCAGCCATCCCTCCTCTCCGTGCTCTCAGGTAGGCACACATAGACACGCTGCATTGTAGAGTATTCTTAGTTGCCCAGGATTCTTTCAATTGTGGTATAAAATAAGAGGGTTTTATGTTTCCAGCTAAGGGAAAAGTGTCACAGAGCAAAGGTTGGAGGGGTGAAAGTACTCACAGGACTCTTTATAACGATGTTACATAGTTTAACAACTTAAATACTAATAATTGTTCTCTCTCTGAAATTTGCATCAGCAACATACGTCTATTTACAATGTGCACACCTTTACATACACCTTGTGATCTCAAGTCTCAATCAGCACCCTGGTCCCTTCTATGTAAAATCTCAAACGTTGTAATATTTCCACATCACCTTAACACCAAACTGGTAAAAATGAAATGCTATAAAATAATTGTTGTCATTTTATGTCTACAAACAACAGATATCTTGTGTGTGAACAAGCAACGTGCAAAGCAAGAATGGGACGACCGTAATTGAAAGTGGCATGTATGATAGTAAGATTGTTAGAGTGGTATGTGTGGTAAAGTTGTTCAATCTGATCCGTTCTCTCGTAAACATTCTTCGTTTTAATAATGGCGGAATCGGGCTATGAAAGCGGAAATGTGAGACTCCGTAAAGGATGTAGTTAGCGGACCAATCGCAGCCTGGTGCGCTGCGGGAGGCCTGCGTTGCTTGTGTCGAAAGAAGAAAAATGTCTCGACACACGCAAGGACGCAAGGAGGTGTGAAAAGGCACGCAAGGGACACGCAAGGGGGTCTTGCGTCTGCGGCGCTCTGAAAACGCAGAAGCATAAACTAGGCTTTACTCCCGCATCTTTCCATTTTGGCTTCTATTGGGTCTGGCCCGAGCCCAGCTGAGACAAGCAGAAGGGGAGGACGTGCAGATATCTTATTTTTCCAAATATTACTGGGTATATTTCATATTTCAAAAACACAAATATTGACTATTTGTAAAATGTATTTTTAATGTAATAAAGAATCTCCCTTTTTTTTGTGGCTCAAGGCCCCACGGCCCTCTATGGGCCAGCGGCCACTGGCCAAAATCATTTGAGATAGTGTGACTACTATGAGATAAATCAGACTTTGCTTACTCACCAACTTACTAAATTTGACTGGAGATTCGAGAATTATTCATGACTTTCCAACAGCAAACTTTTGACTTGAAAAATAAAATTGTCTCATCAATCCTGCCTCCCTATTGTCTCCTGTGTAATTTTAATGCATACTTCCTAACAACAAGATTACGCCTTCCAATATACAATCTTGTTATTTTAAATACGTCATGGTTTGGGGATTTTGTACAAGGAACATGTGACCCGGTGAAACAGCTTGGGTCATTGATATTTTTCAAGACAAGAATGGAGCTCTATGCCACAGGGGAAGAGATATCAGGCTATGATATACAAATCAATTGTTCACACCCGGTTCCAAAATATAAGAAAGTCTGTAAAAGTTTGACATTAAGACAGAATGCCTTCTATTTGTCCTTCTCCTTCCAGACCAGTCCCAGGTGCCAAAGCAAACGCGGCCTCGTCTCTGCCACGAAAATGACCTTCTCCTCCACCCTCCACCCTGAGGAGGCAGCAGCTGACAGCCTATTTGCACTAAAAGACCGTGGCCGGTAAACCCCAGAGCTGTCGCACAAACGAGAGGAAAAACACAAAGATAACACCGGAGATATGAAAGAGCAAACAGGAGTCTTATCATTTCAGACTTCATAATGAAACACCTCCCAGCGTGCTTACATCAACTAAAACAGCACCGTTTTGCATGGAGGCATTGCAGACTAGTCAAGACAAGTGTTATCGCTGGGGGCGGTCACATTTGCCAAAATATTGTTTTTTACAATTTTTTTTTTTTATATATATATGTTAAATCTGTCTGTGTAGAAACAATGCATTTTGTAATGATTGTTGTTCCCTTTACAGTTTGTGTTAAGTCATGTTTTATGATTTATATTATGTGCCAAAGAGGTCTCTTCATACCTGGGTTGTGCCCCAAACGCTTGAAAATGTTCTTATTTCACCTTAATTTTACAGCAAGTCAATTCCTCCATACTTGTGTTGTATGTGGAACATCTAAAGTGGAAATCTAAGTGGCTATTGGAAGGAAGGGAGAGCCAATCTTTTCAATACTGTTTACATGCTGGAGGATTTGACAGACAGGTGGGACATGCAGGACACACACCTCGGTTACTCATGTTAATTTGAATGTCTTTCGCTGTGTGTAATGACTTTTGTTACATAAAAGATTTTTACAAAACTATCGTCAGTTTTTCATACGACATTTGTGATGACAGCCTGTTCAGAACAAATGAGCCACTGTTGGTCAGAATGTCTCCACTTGACATGCAGACCAACAACGACAAGCTGAATGCATCATGTTTTGTTCAAGGAGAACAATGGAAAGTTTTGAGATTTCAAAATATGATGCTATTGTGTAGCATGTGCATTATGGGAAATTTTGGAGTTTGACCAGTACTTTGGAATAAAAACCTCCCAAACTTAGAGTAGAAGAATCCAGGCTGAAAAGCAGTGTTTTGCTGCCCTCTTTGGCTGAAAGTCTCCAGCCTGTTTACCTCTGACCAGAGTCTGTGTGAAACAATGTGCTTCTTGCAGAAACATTCTCTGACAAGGATTTCATATTTTCTTCTCAGGGAAAAACTAAGAGAATAAACTGCAGATGCACCAAACATTCTAAATGGTCCTGGAGCGTCCCATGCGGTGTTATAGCTAAATGAAAAAGTATTTTAAAGCACAATGACAGCCATTCAAGAGCTGTAGGGTTTTATTGTCTTGAATGGGATAAGTGGCAAATTATTTCTCTAACAATCCAACCATCAGGATAAGTCTAAAATAATAATTCAAATCTAAATTTGATTATATTATCTTCTGAATTTTTCTCGGTGGTGTTCAAATTTAATAGGAATGCTTCCTTGCAGTGAAGTAACTGTAAAACCGAAATGGGTTTTCTAATCTTGGTAAGAGGAATCTCAACCACCTGTTCTCTTACCTAAGAGGAGAGCAAGAATGAGAAAAATCAAAGGAGCCCAGTGCTGAAAAAGCACACGTTCTGTCTGAGCTTAAAGGTTTATCGCGTCCCATTGGTGAGGAGGTCTGAGGAGCTGGAGGCTTTTGCTTTTTTCATCAGGGGATGCCAGTCCTCATCTATGTCCTAACGTCAGTGCTTATTATGAAAGCAAGGAATCTAACTTATTTCGTCTCACAGCCGTGCCACAATGATCTCATAGTTCCTGCTGACGAGCAAAGTATAAAGTCTACGTCTCCACCCCCACCTGCCATTAATGGATTCCGCTCTGCTCTGATGGAAATTAGATATCAGAGCGGCAGCACTCTCCTTCCTGCAGACTTAAAGCATTGTGAGAGTCCGTGGTTCGAGTGGAACGTTGTCAGACAGCGAGGACGAATGGCCTCGTGCGGAGGACGTTTACCGGCCGAGTGCCCTGTTCCATTACCAGCTCAGGCACCCGGCCCCGAACCAACACCTGTGGGCTGACTTCTGCATCCGACAGCGCATCTGATTGAAATGGGGAGAGCTGAGCATTAGAGACCGCTGTCTATAAATCCCGCTCTGAGCAGCTACAGGCCCGAGGGCGGTGAATAAATATGTTAACGTCTTCCCTTAGGCTAGCCTTCAGACAGTGAGCTACATAATGAAGAGAGGGCCTTATACAAACAGGAGTCAGTCAGGCTTTGTTTCCTCCTAGATTCTGAGGATAAACAAGTCCTGACGTGATGTGTGAACTAGCTGCTCATCCACCAGGCCTCCTGAGGGGGAGTTTGTTAGATGAGTTTCTGTGGTTTTACTCAGTATTTATACAAGACTTACATTGTGAAACCAGCTGTAATGGAGCACATTGCCCCAACAAATGTATCATTTCTACTAAAAAACTAAATTCTACTGTTGATATAAAAATACAATAGGATATAACAGTAAGGCTCCCAGACTTGTATCACTATGTATCACTTTGATATACTTATTCTCCTCTATCCACTTTTCTCAATTGATGTTATCTCCGCTGAGGCTACACACATGTGGTCAAGATTAACTCTGACCTGTTAGAATGTGAAAATGGAATCAACGCATCTCAATGATACATTCATTTATTTTAATTAATTTATATACCTGGACTTTATTGGCGCAGATGAGGTTTAACAAAATGTCTGCTCATGTCCAAAACGTAGAGATTTGTCGGTCTGCGCTGGGCTGACTTCACACAGCACGCACAGAGTGGCATGCTGCCAGAGACATCCAGCAAGTTAGTTTAACTTTTAAATAAGTAAAACTAGTTTAAGTTTTAGATACCCTAATTTTTTTAACATCTCGAGACAGGGTGACGTATCTCGGTAGGACACACAGCTGCGGGACACACATTCGCGGAGGGACATTAGTCTGAGACCACACGAGACGAACCGCAGTCCAAGGAGAGCCCGCCCCCACCTGCGGGTCATATTACCGTTAGCGATATTTAACGTGACATAACCTCAACACCTTTAGTCGCTCAACAATAGCGCTGGTTTCATGTCGACGTTTTTTCAAGTGTTAAAAGTAAGTTATACTTTACATATTTCTTTAAGGAGTTTGGTTTAAGTTGTCACGCACTAACTTTAGTCCTTAAAGCTAGCGTGCGACAGCGCAGTGTGCTACAAGGCAATATTTCTAATAGCGTGTTTGCATTCAAGTAAGCGGTCCATGACAGTCACATGTGGCTACAAATACAAAGGGTAAGCCCCAAGACTCACGGAAATTAACTAGTTTGTTTATTCGCTCTTTTTTTTACTTTGAATATGGTCCGCGTGCAGTCTTGTTCTTAGCTGTAAGCTACATAGTAAGCGTGCGCATTAATGTTGAAGAACCTTGTTTTGCTTCAAAGGGCTTTCTAAGCATGACATATTAACCAGCGTTAACTAGCTAAGTTAATGCTAAATGGTTGCAGAGTTCTCTATAGACAATTCTTAATTTTATTTTGCGCAACTTAGTTCGCAAGCGCACATTATTCCCGCAAACCCTGCAGCAGCAGTTAGCTGTTAGCACCGCGCTGCTGAGCAGCCGTTCACACTGACAAAAGCAGAACAGGATAAAACAAAATCCCCGAGGCAATTGATCTTTTTTTTCTCTGCTGTACATTTTATTTTAAAAAATGCTTTTGCTGATCAAAACGTTTGCGCAATATTAATTAGACAAAGACTAATGTTATGTTGGTACCAAGAAAAAACAATTGCGTGACTTCAAAGACACTGTCAAAACATTGTTGCTCAATCACAGGCACATGGTGAGATGCATGTTTTAACCTGAAGATAGTGGTGCATTTCTAAGATCATCTCATGAAGCTAAAGATGCATTCTAGTTTTTTTTTTCGTGAGGAGAGGTAAAACACACACTTCTTTATTTTACTTTTGCAGAAACCTTTGTCTTTTCGGGAATATAAATCCTGGCGGAATGCACCATTTTAGAAGAATGTATTTATCACTTACTGGGTGTTGTTTTTGTCTCTTGCATAGTGTTGTTGCTGAACCCTAACAAATAAACAAAGTTTGAAATTAGGGTCTGTAGCCCCTGTAGTTTGCTTCTAATCGTTTGACTGTTTTAAATATGAGCTTATCAATAAGCATAAACCCCAACCAATAATCTTCATGTGTGACTCTCGATACACATTTTTTGTTTTGAAGCTAAGGCTGACAGTCAAGTAGCTTCACTCAAGAACACAATAAAACCACAGGTGTGAATATTGTTGAGTTATGTCAAATCTGCAATGATAAAATGACGCTAACAGGAAAAAGTGGATCTGTTCTGAGTCCTTTCTTCCTCTCCCATCTCTGTAAGCAGAACGCCGTGCAACCATGAGCACATTAGTAATGCGGAACCAAGCCAGGCAGCTTCTGCACAACAAGTTTGTGGTGGTTCTTGGTGGCTCAGGTGAGACGAGAAGCTTGTTTGTCTCAAATGCTCGCAAATGAGAACATGTTTCACTAACCGTTTTCCTTGTTCTCTTCGTATGGAGCTTTTTCTCTGTTTATCTTTATTTAACTGTGTGTTCTTTCTATTTGATAGCAGACAAATTGTTTTACTTCAGATTTCCTGCAGTGTTTCCCCTGCCGTTATGTTTTTGTTACATCTCCACACACGGCCTTAAAGCAAACACACGAGCAGTGATGCTTTCATTGGAATTCTATTGGTAGGGGAATCTAAGAGTGGAGGAGAAATTGGAGAGACACCGAGATCCTCCTTGTGGCACTGGCACGCAGTGGCACAACTCGTGGCAAGTAAGGGGCGGGCGGAGCCAGGCTTTCCCGGAAACGGCTGTTGTTTGTGCGACAGGTTAGCTGCCGTAAAGATGTTTTTTGTAGTTCTTTTTGTTTTATTTCATGTTTTTTGTATTTATTTTATTTGATACACTACATATTCCCCACCTCTATCTCAAGTCCGACGTATTCCGCTGGGGGGCTTGGGGAGGGGGGTGTTCCACGGGGGGGATCGGCGGTGTTCCGTGGGGGGGGATTGGCCTGGTGTAATACAGTGGCACTCAATGGCACAACTCGTGGCCTCAGTGGCCACTTTGGCAATTCATTGGCAACCTGTTAGGCGTCCTTAAAGCGCCACTCGATCCGAGAGGCTGCCGAGCTGTTTCTTGTTTTTTTATTGACTTGAGTGGGGTTTTGTTTTTCTTTATTTATTGGATTTGTTGAGCATGTTGTTTTGTTCTAGGACTTGCACTTATTTTTCCTATTGCCACTTGTCAGAGGATATCCAAGCTGCCACAATAATACCTCCTAGATGTCAGAGTTTATTCCAAAAATAATCTTATGTTTTCAATGAAAAGTGCTATTGGAACAGAAATCAGTTACACATGAAAGCATAAATATTTGCCTAATCAATAGAGCTGAAGTTGTCATAAGTGGGACCATTAGAAGAATTAAATGAGACGCGGAGACTGTCAGGAAGGATATATATATATATATATATATGAAATAACAAAAAGAACATTAACAATAAATAATATAAACATGTAAAAACAACCTGAAAATAAATTTTAAAAACTGAATTAGTCATTGACTTTGTAGCCCTTGTCAATAAACTGTGCCACAAACATTTCGTAGTCACTTCTGTTCTGGAATTCCACGACAAAGACATTTATCGGTGCGTCTGTCAAGTCAAGTCATTTTATTTTGTATAGCCCAGAATCGCAAATTACAAATTTGCCTCAGAGGGCTTTACAGTCTGTACACATACAACATCCTCTGCCCCGAAACCCACCATCGGCACAGGAAAAACTCCCCAAAAAATGAAAAAACCCTTACAAGAGGGAAAAAAGGGAAGAAACCTTAGGGAGAACGTCAGAGTCGTCCTCATTTTCATCCATGGAGTTCTTGAGGTCTTGCAATGCTGGTTGTCTCTGTCCATGTTGGTAATTTCAGGCAAGGTTACCTTCCCCTTAAATGCTTTTGTCTGCAACCACTTTGCTGCCAACAAGGTGTGTTCGAGCATTTTCATTTTGCCCTCATTCTGCATTTGAAGAAAAGGTGTATCATAAAAAAAGGCATACATTTTAAATATTTTTTTTTTTTAATTAACGTTGACTATAAAATATGAAACAATAGAAAAGCAATCCATTATATTTCAACAAGACTGTAATATAAATATATATATATATATATATATATATATATATATATAAAATTCTATGTATCTAGCACAACAATTACCTGTTGGGCTTTCTCATCTGTGCCTGCAGTGCTGCTGGTTGGGCTATATGCTTCACTGAACATAACGAGAATAAATCATCACACAACTTGCAGAATATACTTTTCTCTAAAAGATAAAGTCCAGTTATCCGAAGCAACTACATTTTATTATCACACATTTCTAAATGTATTAAATCTAATTTATCTGTTAATTGTTGTTGTAGAAATCCATAATTTCTTCATTCAACACAGACTTCCTAGCACCTCTATTTATACAACCTTACTTAGAAATTAATCCACAAACATTAACGTCATTAATTTCATTAACTTCACACTTAAAAAAAAAAAACAGACCACAAATTGTCTGTCTCATAATTTTGCCTGCAGCAGCCTTCTTAAGTAAAACCAGTAGTACAAAATCCACTTAATATTATTTGCTTTTTTGGGGGGATAATCAATTTATATTTCATTTCTTCAATATATTTAGAATTAGCACCTATTTGTGTCTTTTTTTTAATTATTATTTCAAAGTAGGTTTTTGAGCCAATACCAGGACTCTGTCTCTGTGTGAATTCAACTCCAGCTGAATCTATCAACTCTGCTGTGGTCCATCTCTGTCCGGGATTCCCCCCTAGAACACCCACGCGTCACAATGTGTGTATATATCTGAATATATAGTTAGTATTCAGATATACACATTACAGACATCGGTTGGACTACTATATAAAAACAAAGACTAAAGGAGGCAGGCAAACATCACATGTAGTGTATATACAAACAAAAAAAAAAAAGAATATTGATTCAGTTTAGTTTGTTTTTTCACCTGTCCCTCCACAGAGCTGACTTCAAATCTTCATCTGCGTTTTGAACTATTAATGTGATATTACAAAATTTTTTTGTAAATTCACTTAAACATCTTCAAATGGATCAATATTATTTTCGTATTCATTTTATTCTAATCCATGAAGATCTGAAACTCTGTTAACCTTGATCACTGCTCTCCAAACTCACTGAAAGTGCTTCGGGGAATGTCAACTTTCTTTCTGCTGTTTTTGCTCTCTTCTCTCCGAGCTGCATGTAAAGAAAAAAAGTTGTATTTAAATTGGAAACTTGAGTTGGTAGTTCGAGTTCAGAACAAGTATTCCTGTTGTGACGCCACAGAACTGCCACTTTTGCCACTGATGTGCTACTGTACCGCCGACCCCCCCCAGCGGAATACGTCGGACTTGAGATAGAGGTGGGGAATATGTAGTGTATCAAATAAAATAAATACAAAAAACATGCAATGAAATAAAAAGAACTACAGAAAACATCTTTACGGCAGCTAACCTGTCGCACAAACAACTGCCGTTTCCGGGAAAGCCTGGCTCCGCCCACTCGGCGTGGCGTTGCGATGCCCGCCCCTTACTTGACGCGAGTTGTGCCACTGAGTGCCACAAGGAGGATCTCGGCCGTGCTGGGAAATTGGGAGAGCAGATGTTTGACAGGCACACAGAAGCATCCCGAGTGAGAGGACTGTTTTGAGGGAGGTTGTTATAAAACAGGAAGTGAAATGAATGACTCTGGCTCTTCAATTAAAACGGCATGGCATTTTTTTTGGAGAAGGTGTCCGTTTGGATTAAATACCATGTTGATTATCTATCAGATACATAATCTATAAGCGCTTCAGGTCTTTGCTGCTCTCTGCACCCATTAAAACACGCACTGCTTTTGTTTTCCAAGTTCTTTCTCATCATAATTGATTAGAATCTTTTGTGAGAAAAGCCTGTTGTATCCGTCCTATGATTTCAGTGCAACGGTCAATGTACAAAGATCTGGTTCTGCTGCTTCAGACGGATCAGTGCTTGACTCTGTCTCAGCTCAAGTCCAAAGTAAGTGTTTCATTTCCATGAAAGTGCACCAACATACCTCTAGCCCCACTTCTCGTTATTCTTGACGCCAAAGCCTTTTGCGCAGTGTTACTCAGATTCTGTTTTTATCCATAGGATATAAATATTTTTTCAATAAAACAAAGGCTGCCAGAACTGGAAATATAAAATAAATTGGTACAGGCAAAGAGATGTTCTGCTACACAATGATCTGTGAAATTTTGAATAGGTTTATTTCTTGCTCTTTAATAGGATTTACACAAAGTAATTGACAAAGCGTTTAGGGCTGTACAATTTACTTCTGAATCTGTTCCAGCTGTCAAGCTGCATAACGTATCAGACCCTTGAATTACGTTTAGCTGACGCTCCAAAGCGACTTGCATTGCATTTTTAACCCATGGTTTACATTTTGCCCAGGGAGCAATTAAGGGTTGGGTGTCTTGCTCGGGGACACTTCGACATGGAGCAACCTTGCGCTTCCCGGCACACCCGCTCTACTCCATGCGCCTCCATCTCACAGCACATACCCCTACCCTCACCATAATCAGTTGGACAGGCCGTTAAAGCAGCTATCCATCAATATTCTTACAATAGTTGAAGGACATAGTCAACATAAGGTGACTATAACGTTATTCTCTGCAGCTCCCCTGGGCTTTATGGAAGTTTATAATCCCAGTGGACAAAGAAAGTTCATTCATGAAGATGATGTTAAGCCCATGGCCTCTTTCTGACATCGACTGAGATGTGTTTGTGTTTGGTAAGAATAAAAAATGGTTTCCTCTGCTGAGACACCTGAACTGAATGTCCTGCTTTGTGTGATGCAGGGGGAGTTTTCCTTTAAACAGGACGTCCTGGTGGAGGGGGGTCGATTGGGGCCCATGACGAACGGCACCGAGTACAGAGAGGTCCGACAGTACCGCTCCGACCACCACTTGGTGCGTTTCTACTTCCTGACCCGGGTCTACTCGCCGTACATGGAGAGCATCCTGGAGGACTTCAGGCAAGGACTCAAACCCGACATCCTCGTCGTCAGCTCCTGTGTATGGGACATAACCAGGTGACCAATCCTCACACGCTCTCTATTCTATTGAGAAACTCTTGTAGGAAGAGGGTTGGCTCTTTCTCCAGTGTCACTACCAGTCTCCTCATCCCGGCTTCCCCATACTATGCTGGGTTTTTCACAATCCATCTGAGCGAACACCTTTCTACGACATCCAGTATGCAGGGATGTCATCATTCTGAGGCGTCAGACCAGCATCCAATTGGAGCCATGCCTCGAGCAATCCTTCACTATGCTGCTCCCTCAGCCGTGTCATGGCTGTCAGCACTAACCTGACGTTCAGCTAGGAACATTATTCAATTAACAGGAAAACCAAGGACTGGGGTGTTGAGCTCATGCCTCCTGCTCCACATGGCAGAAGAAAATGTTTCCCCTTTAGAAAGTCAAAAGATGCCGGTATATCTCTCAAGTAACATGAAGCAAGGGGGAAGAACTTCTCCTTTTACAAAAGAATACGGTCCTTGGCTACTGGTTCATTCAAGTTTTCAGAGAGGACCATAACAAAATGAATTGAAGACTTGATAAATAACACATGAAACAGTAATTCTGTGAATTATCTGGTACTGAAACCTGCTAACCAGCAGTCTGAGTCTTCAAGCCTGGTACCGCTGTATGCGGATTGACACAGCCAGATTGAGGCAAGGTGTCAAGCCAGTGAATGTGTCCTTCCAATACATATCTGTTAATGAAAAACTTCATTTTCATTTATTGGTTTAATCAGTTTTGTTTTTTTCATATCCCAGGTACGGCCCAGAGTGTCTTGGACAGTACAAAGAAAACCTTCACAAGTTCTTTGGCCAGATTAAAACTATTGTTTACCACGACTGCCTTATCCTGTGGGCTCTGGCTCTACCGCTAAGCAAGAGGATCAACGGAGGCTTCTTGGTGCCTGAGGTGAGTATCTCCCAGACAATCGGCACACCATCAGAAACCCTCCCAAACCATCAAGATAATGATGACTGTTTTTGAAATGTGTATTAATCAGTCATGAAGGTTCTATGCAGAGTGAACTTGACAAAGCTCACCACAGACTCTGAGGTCTCTTTATTTCTGTCGAATACTTTGGGCCACCAAATGCATAACTAAAATAAAATACATATCATTTAATATTTTAAGTTAAATGTCCAACAGAACACTCCAGCCATTAAGATTTTTTTTTTTAGATTTGCAACTAAGAGACTCTGCAAAAAAGAATAAAGGAGTGTTCCCATCCATTGCTGTTGTGAGTATTACGCCTGGTCTGTACTATGAATATAGTCCGTACAGGCGCGCGCCCACCCGCAAAGCAGAGTCGCACCGCCGCAGTTTCTTTTTGTTTTTTTACATTTGAATTTTCATTTTCACATTTGAATATCTATTCGAATTTAGAATATTTGTTGACAGCCCTAGTCTGTACAGTTACAATTTCTCCTAGGCTTTGTGGGAATTGCCTTATGGCGTGTTGCCTTTTAAGCTGGTTGACGTCACTTCTTCACAATGCATTTGTTCGTAGGCCCTCCGGCGTTCCAGAGGATGCTACAACAAACAGCACGTTGAGCATGAAGTGCTTTGTATGTAGCGTTTGCAGAAGCTCCCTATGTGGTACCACGCACAGCATAAACAAAGCTTTAGAGGGGGTTCCTCAAGAGAAATCTCTCTGTTCTGCTACTGTCTGAACTCCTTTGGTCCATTTTTGGAAATGTAACTTAAGCAAGAGATATATTTCAGTATAACAATTGTCTCATTAGACCATTCCATATGCAGAGACAAGTAGGGATAATATTTACTTTCCTTTTTTTTTAGAACCGCAAATAGGGAACTGTTCATGAGTGGTTGAATCCCCTGATTCTCTCCATGAATCTCTGCAGGTGAGTCACTTGGCTCCCACGCTGTGCTATGACATCATCGCGGCCAACTTCTACAGCTGCCGGCTTGCGGAGGCCTACGGCTTGGACGTCCTAGACCTGCACTTCCACTTCCGTTTCCGCCTGCAACACCGAATGGCGGACGGCGTTCACTGGGACGGGCTGGCCCATCGACGCATCAGCGGCCTGCTGCTGCACCACGCTGCCGATGCCTGGGGGGTCGACCTCTACGATCCCCCCTCTCCAGCAGGAGGAGGTCTGTGAGCTAGGGCTGTCAAAATTGCCCAAAAATGACGTTTGAATATTTGCTTAAAAAAAACACATATATTCGAGGCGCGTCAATAACCGGACAAATTTAACAACAAAATACCTGCACAAAAATAAGTAAATGATGTAATGACTTCAGACCTCTCTTCCCCGCACCGTCGCGCTCTATGCGCGTAGCGGTTTAAATGAACGACAACAATAAACAAATGCTGATCAAGAGTTTTGTGCAAGCAGTTTAAGGTCATGATTCTCGTGTCAACCAGTGTCCCAAATATAGCAAGCTTCATTCAGTGATTGAAACTGAAAGTACAGTTCCGACATTGAACACTCTGAGCGAGCTGTGCTGTAAACACTGAACTTTTCCTTGGCATGGAACGGCAAATAATCAAACTAGTGCATGAAGCTGTTGTTGTAGCCTAATATCTAGTCTATTTTATTCATGCATATAGTCAGTACAGGTGCGCGTCCACCCGCAAAGCAGACAGTCGCTCCACTGTTTTTTCTTCTTTTTTTTTTTTTACATTTGAATATTCATTTCCAGTGTACAAAAAGGCTGCTTGCGTGAAATAGTGACTGATGCCTTGTTATTGGTGTTTGACTACAAATTGAACGTGGTTCAGTCCAGTGATCAACACAATTGATTTTACTGGGCTGTGATCAAAGTTGTCCTCTTTTAGGAATCCCTTCTGTGGAGCTGATTCTGATTCTACACTTATAAGAATATGTCACCCCAAATAAATGCTTCATTTATGTACTACTGATGGGCATGAATGTTTCTCTGGGTTACAGTAACCCTTTTTATGGGTTAAATACTGTTAAAAAAGCTCTGACACCAAACAACCACTTTCCTTACAGTCAAGTGTCTTGATTTGTCTTCGTTCCACAACCTGCCTCCGTTTCATCTGACTGACTAAATTGATTCTTGCAATGATAAGGCTGTTTTTCTATTCCTGCAAAAGCAGCCTACACAACATAAAATACAAATATGTAAAAGAGATGATGCCAGCTTCTGCAAATGTTTTACCCGCAAGAACAAATGTAAAAACAGATGCCACACGAAATGTTTTAAGTCAACAGACATCATCACAACATCAACATAAAATATGCAGTATCTAATATCTACAGATTTATATATTATGTATATGCTTAATCAACTGCATCTCTGCAAGTTTAGTGCTCGATGGATATACTGACTTTGGACGCCATCGATTCCATGGTGGGCTTGGACTCAACGGCCTCATTTTAATTACTGACAAATTGAGTTTATTAAGAACAAAATCATTGACTTGACTAGGATTTCTCTTCTGTAGACATATTCATGTGCATGTTGTGCTTCTGCTGTGCCTCTCAGTAGCTCTCCAGAGATGTAGCATGGTCCGCCACCAGCAGAGGAACAGATCAGACCAGTTTGAGCTGGTTCCACCAAACTCTGGTAACAAACCCTCCTTGTCCTCTAGTGGTCATACAGCACGTGTTGTTCTTTGTGAACATGTATGTGCAGTAACATCCTTCCGTGGGTTTTTCATGCTGGTTCAATATAAATCGTTCTCTACTTGCTGTGGTGGGAGGGGAGCTTTTTAAAGAGGTGGGGTTGTGTCCCTGCGCCTGCTCCATGCACGGCTGTTCACACAATGTTTTCCAGTTCGTCTATTGTCAAGTTCCTTAGAGGACTGCCAGTGATATAACCGGGAACGACATTACATAAATTATAACCCATATCCAAAAACCATAAGGATCCTATGAGGTGGGAAGTCAGTAATTCAGTGGTGTAAGTGTGGATGTGTGAAACATGGTGTGGTGCGTGTGTGAATGAAAAGAATAACTCAAACATAACAAATGTATGGAGCCTGCAGCAGGGAGCGAAGGCCAGGTCTGCCCCCTCTGGATCTTTTCTCTGGCTTCCTTCAACTGGCAGGGGCATGGCATATATAGCTTAGGAGACACCGGGCCCAGGTGCTCTCCATTAGCCATCAAGACGAGGCCCCACCCAGGCTCACCTATAGGGCGACAGGGCATCACACAATGTTGATGTGTCCTGAAGACCGCGCAGTGTCTATGAGCCAAGTCACCCCTATACAGGTTACTGATGTAACACGCACGTAGCTACAGCATTTCCCATTTTAAAGGATCCAGCAGGTTAAGCAGATGTGCTTGAACTGTATGAGTTTTATCAATCATAACAAGTAGGAACAGCTTGAATGACTCTTTTGAGCCTTTCTAGTCACCTCATCTGTCTGTTCTGCCTCACATGTACTGTTTTCATCTTTTTGTTCATCATCCTACTGTAGAGTGAAGATATCTTCCCTCTTGGAAGGGTTCTTTCATTTTTGGGGGAGTTTTTCCTGTGCCGATGGTGGGTTTCGGGGCCGGAGGATGTTGTATGTGTACAGACTGTAAAGCCTTGAGGCAAATTTGTAATTTGCGATTATGGGCTATACAAAATAAAATGAATTGAATTGAATATCTTTCCTGTGACAAGCTCACCTGTTGACATGTTTTCTTTTAGAGACCCACATGGCAATTAACCTATTATCACCTGAAAAATATCTTAAGGATCAGAGGACTTTGTCGCAATAGGATTTAGAAACGCACCACGCATTGAACCTTTGTAACAGTGTGTTCACAGGTCTCTGCAAAAAGTCAGTCAGAACTCAAAGATCGAAGATCTTTCAGATCTCCTTTGATTCATCTTCGGTCTAAACACTGGCTGGTGTCCAACAAAAAATTGACTTTGCTCTCCTGCCGTTGGTTTATAAACATACCTGCAAACCTTTCAGTGAAATGTTCCCATTTTGAAATCAAAATATGTCATCCACATGAATTGTGTAGATCCAATACATGGACAAATTGACCGCTAATCAGCCAGAGCTGATTAATGGAGGATCTGTGCCTTGAGGTAGGAGGTGTGACAGAGAGCCCGTATAGAATGATGCATTGAACAGGCTAGAGGAACAAGTTGGCACTTGCATCGAGGATGTTAACTGGCCAGCCAGCAGAAACATATTGTGGTGATCTAAACAAGGGGGGCTCGTGGGCGGTCGACAGTGGGGGGGGGGGGACACAGTCATTTTCAAGCGGGCACTGCTGCCTGGAGTAATGCCGTGGTTAAAAAAGTCTAACACAGGGGTCCCCACACTTTTCGGGCTACTTTTTACTCAACTTTTCAATCCAACTCATGGGGATGGACCCCCCCCCCCTCCCGCTCGGGAAGTTTGCCTAACAATAACTACGAGCAGTAGCGGTAACCAAACGGAACAACAGCGCTGCGTCCCGGGAGCGCAAAATGAATCAATATTTTAAAAAAAGTCAACAAGCCTCTTGTCGGCCAGAAGCGATGGTGACCTGACGGGCCGCACTGGACCCCCCCGGCAAGTTTGACACCTGTGATCTAAACAATAAAACTTTGATGTGACGTGAGTCTTGGCCAATCAGCGGTCTCTACAGCGTCTTCATTTCCAGCTTTTCATCTTTTCACTCCAAATTGAAGTTAGTCGGTACTGGATTATTAATATTATGAAATTGCGTGTTTTGGCGCAAAAAAACACTGGTTGAATTCGCTCATTCCTCCCAAATATAAACACTACACAGACAGGTAAAATATAAAGCTCAGCGTATTTCCTTCAGGTAGTTTCTATTAACACCAACCCTGACCTCGTTTTACTCCGCTTGTATATGTTGCAGCTACAGATCCACACATGTGGTTCCCATCGCAGCCGCCCCTCTGCTGGCAGCAGGATGCAGCTGCTGCTGGAGTCGAGGTGTTACACTCTCCCTTCCCTGTGCAGCCTCGTCCTCCTCCAGGTCCACGTTTTCCTGCAGATGGAAGGCGGAGACTCGCTGGTCAGTGGTGGTCCAGCACGTAGTTTTTGGCAATTTGCCACTGTTGTGATTGACTTCTCTTACTGCTAACAGGTCAGAACTCTTTGCTCCCAGACAACCCGTGGCCAAGGCAGCAGGTCTATGTTGGGGTTAGAAAACCCTTCTCACAGATGGACTTCAGTGCAGGTATGATGCTTTTCCCTGTTATAATTATAGTATTGTCTGAGGAGAGTGTACAGGGTTCTTTTGTTTGTGAAGCATGGTTATGAATTCATCTATTGACTGAGGACGAATTAACTTCAATTGCTTCAGTGCAACCAAAATACTGCCCACATTAAAAAGCAGGCCTATTAGTTGATTCATCTCCAACCTGTCACTGCCTTAACGTGTTCAATGTCGTTGTACAGTGTTTGAACCACGGGTTTCTCTCCTATTGCCCACTAAGTAACTTCCATGGACCTAACAGTAAAGCAAGGAATCTGTCTGTATGTGTACGGTATGGCTTAAAATAGTAAATGTATTAAAAGAATATAACATAGAATTCTGTTCAAATGTATGTCTATAGATTAGATTATTGTTGGGGCTAGGCAGGTTAAAGCGTTGACTCAAACAACTAATTATTAAGGCATTTTCTGCTGGTGGGAGTGGGCTCACGTGCGTGTGTCCAATCTGCCGCTATATAGAAAATGAAAGCTTTGAGACTTGCTTGGGCGGGCAGGGAGCCAATATAATAACACTGCTATCGTTTATAATAAAATAATTATTCTAAGAAAATATTATAGAAATTGATTAAGAATGTCGTCATATAGTTTAGCATGTAAATGTCATAAGTAATGTGTAGCATATTTTTGTTTTTATGTATAGTAAGACATTCAAAATAATTTTAGCTTAGTATGTCATACAGATTTCCTACTATAGACATACAATTTCATGACATTAAGGGTACATCCAAAATGTAATCTGGTATACCCCCCAAAAGTTAATAAAATATGTCAAGTATTGTTTGACACAGTTATATTATGTTATAACTTTGTTATAATATTATTTAATTAAAATGGCATTGCCATAATAATGCCACGAACCCTTTCCTGGTACTACTATCACTTTCCTGTCATATAACACACGCATATATATGTGTGTCATAAAGTGTCATAAAAATAGTATAGCATTCCATAAATAATCAATCATTTAGTATGTAATAACAAATGAAACTGTCTAGTCTGCTATACATATTTCAAAGCCAATCGTCATTCCATGAAAAGGGAAGAGACACCAGAGATCTACTTTCTGCTGAGTGCACTTTTCTACTTTTCGCATACTTGTGCAAAGAAATAAAAAGAATGCATGAGGATTCCCGCAATCACTCAGGTATGCAAGTAGACCCAAAGAAAAACAACACGTGTGGTTTTTTCCTTCCAGGTGACTGTTTCAGGTTCTGTCCGCATTCCCAAGCAAATGATCCCCGTGTCAGGAGGGGGAGGGGGAGAAGGACTAACTTCAGGACTCATCCGTACCCGCCTATGTCCGGCCGGTGGGCTGCAGACAAACGGACCCCCTACAGCGGGGACACCAGCCGACTGGACTCAGCATGGACTGAGTGGTGATGAGCAGCGATGGGTCCCTACTGCTGAGGACACCTGAGAGATGAAGTTGATGGGTGGGGGGGAATCTGATGTCTGGATGTTAAACAGATCAGTGATTGAGGCTGGTCAGAAGCACAGTGACACGTGCAATGCCAGCATTTATCCACCAATCCAATCGACTGGACTGGAGGTGACCGTTTTTTCATGTAGGATAATAAAAGGATTGCCTTTGTATAAATGCTCTTATCTGTACGCCAGCTCTGCCTAATCGCTAACGTTTCAATTTAGCACTTTTTTATGTAACTGAAAATAGTTCAACAGATGCTTCTTAATTTTTGTACAAGCCACATTTGAATGAGGACCACGAGCTGAAACAATGTGAGTGGTCGGGGCTTCTGAGGGATTTCTGTGATTTGTCATACCTGAATGGTCATAGTTCCAAGTGCACACACTGTTCTTCAGGGCCAATTTATTCCATTGCATAGCTCAATTTAATATTTGACTTCCACTTTTGATGTTTAAACTCAACTAATGGTTAAATAAAAGGTTGTTTACTATAATGGATTTTGCTTTTTTATTTCAAAACAAGTCACTGCTTTTAAGTTTCAGTCAGATTCTCATTATTTGTTAAGTGTCTGTTCTTTGTTTTTGAGATTTTTGTCCTGCAATGTTATGCGGGCTGTCAGTGGTTCTTTTTTTCAAATCTAATCTCACATTTTGAAATTAAATAATCGCAATTAAATGATTCCGTCCGTAGAAGAAAATCAATCACTTTAGAAAGCATCAGTGGTGTAGTCTATATTTTTGTAGTGAGTGTACTGTGACCGGCCGGCTGGCGGGGGGGGGGACCAGCGACGTTCCTGCAATGCAATGAAATTAAATGCGTTCGTTGGTGCCGCGGTGGACAGCGGATGCGTGACGTCACGTCACATCAATGGCACGCGATCGACTGCTACTGCCTTCAGAAAGTTAGAACGTTCTGTCAGAGCGGTATTGTTACGTATCATTGCACTTTTGTTAGTGGGTATACAGAAATCCCTGACTATTCCTAGTGGATATACGCGTGTAGTTAGACATTTCTGTTTAATTTTATTTCATTAATACACATGACTTGTCTCGGGCAGAATTCCCCTGTGTGGAACATGTTGAACTAGCGACTCATCCCGCTGTCCTCGTGCACTTTACTGCGCTTTCAACTCTCCATCACTTGACGGCTGTGTTTGAAGGGCCAACCATCGCCCCACATTTAGCCAGGACGTTTTCCAAACCATTGTCTTTTAGGGACACAGTGGTGGTCCTCTGCGAGACACATTGTTGACATGCTGACATATTGTGAAGCAGTGGATTGTCTCAGCGTGTCCCAAAAGCCTGTGGCCCCACTCAAGTGAGTCCCAGCCCAGGTGGATCACAGGGTGAACACACATTCAGAGGTCCAACAGCAGCTTGTGTTTTATCAGTAGCTGCCCCGTTCCCAGTCATCTTCCCCCCTCCTTCTCGGCCTCGTCTCAGTGCAGGCTGATGGAGCAGGATGGATCTGCTACCGGCTGATATCTATCTGTCGAAGCGTGGGGGTTCATACCCATCTTCAATTACAGCCCATAAATGTCAGGCTGCCTCTTCAGTCAGTTAGCGGTGGGCCTCGTGGGGCCGTCTTCTTGGACGTGACAAGAATTGGACCGGCGAAATTTTCTTGCCCAAGTGCGAGCATTCATTCAGAGTGTTTCTTCAGGAAGTGACTGTAAGCCGGGAGCAGGCGGGGCTCCAAGGCAGAGCGGGACAGAGCAATTAAGATGATAGTCAATTAGACCATGCTGCTAATTGACTTGATTACAGCCAGAGCTGATTAATGGAGGATCTGTGCCTTGAGGTAGGAGGTGTGATGAGAGCCTGTCTAGGATGATGCATCGAACGGGCAAGAGCAACAAGTAGGCACTTGCATCGAGTGGTATGTTGGCCAGCCTCCACACGGGGGAGGTTGGTGCAATCCAGCACAGCATTAATATGTGACATTTGAAAAGTTCAGCAGCAGCGCTTCTTATACTGGAAACGGTGCCCAAGGCTGGTGGGGGTGAGCTGGGACACCAAAAAACCTTGCCGGACTCAGACTGAGCAGATACAGCTGTGCTAACGATTGATTGATGGAAGTTTTGTCTGAAGCCTAAAGTGAAAGTCACAAAGTTGCCAAATGTACTTGGCGTCTAAAGCTAGTCTACAATTATTACTTGTACTGGAACATTTCTTTGAGAAATAGAAAACATAAGTAAAATGACTGGATTATCCAAAGACCGCCCTCTAAACATGTAGAATAATCTCAATAACAGAATAATAACAATGAATATTGTTAACCATGTAAGATCCACTGGTAATACTGGTTTGAGTGATTAAGAATAAATTGCTCCCTTTATTTGTGAAATTTAGAATTTTCTCTTGACTACAAACCGTTTGAGTGGTCCTGACTGACCAGTTTGACTGCCAAACGACGCACTAACGGCAGGTGAATATGTCTATGTATATAATCCACTCAGTGAGGTCTTAAACCACACACGTCATGGCTGATCCCTTTGTGTCTTCAGACTGCCTCTTCGTGCTGGCAGAGACAGATGGACGCTTCTTCTCTTGCAGGTTCATGAAAATAAACTTAATTACCATATTAACATAATTTCCTATTGCACTTATTGTTTAAGCACTCTTCATATGGAACCATTTATGTTTTATTCATACAACCCTCAGGTGACCCGGCATCGACAACTCTTGTTTTCTCCCATTCCAAGGCTTCAGGTTCAGGTTCTTTAATTCGGCTGGTGACACTAACAAATAGTTAGCAGGACTAAAATCCAATTTTTATTCGATGGTGCCGTGTTCAGGGAATGGGTACTTCCGGATATACTTGTAAACATGATGATTTACAATTCTCATGAACTCCCAGGCAGCCCTCATCATATGCACATGGTCATTGAAAGGTACCTGAAGGCAGGAGCGAGCTGAGCACCATCAACCACAACTGGACCCCTGGTGTTTGAGGAGGCCCGCTGGGATGCTTCGCACCACACAATCCCGTTGGCCTACATTGTGCAGCTACCCGAATGTATGTCTGGATCCCGACTGCACCGCGTGTGTCGTGCTTCACAGCATGCTTCCTGCGGCACGGTCAACGTTTGTTTTTTCATTTCGAGCAGCTTCCCCCTCAGAAGAGCCGGAGGCCACGGCTGCAGGGATGCTTTCAAATGTTCCATCCTACAGCCTCAGCTTTGGCGGCACTGAACGGAACACAGGTTGACCAGCTCACAGGTTTTGACAAAAAAAATCTGTATTTCACAATACCCACCATGCCCAAATTGGCCGCATGCCTCTTATTTGTCTGCTGATGACGGTTGTCACTGTATTTGAGATGCTACTAAAAGTAGTATGGAGAGAATTGTAAAGTAGTGCACTGAGCTGTCCCCCAGACACATCGGCCACAATGCATTTCAAGAGCAAACCGTTTGACAGTCATGTGCAATTCATAGCGGCGCATAACACACCGGACCCGTGTCATTCCAAAGGGGACTCGCTAGCTAACTGGGTAACGTGTAAACTTGTTTTACAAGCTAAGCTAGCCGCTTCCAGCTGCCACAAGACTTTATGTTAAGCTAGGCTAAATAAGCACATAAGACTTGACCTCCATAAGACGGACATTAATCTTCCAATCTGAGAGAAGCGTGTGTTGAACTATTTATTTAAGTCCCAGGTACGAGACATGAGAAAAGAGGCAGCAAGACATTGAACTAGTTTACAATCTTTGTAAACTAAAATTGTTACCATTTATTTGACCTTTGGACATAGTATGTTTAACTGTACAGTAAGTAATTTAATGAACTTGTTAAAAACAAACACTGGTCCAGCGATGGATCTTTGGTGGGGTAATCTTGGCCGAGCTATGCTGTGCTAGCATTGTGTTGAGCCAGCAGACACAGACGTTTCCGTTTTGGGGACCCGCTCGTCGGCCAGGTCCACCAACACCTGGACAGTCTGGGCCAGACGACTCAGCCCCTCGTCCTCCATGATGAGTTGGGGAGAACACAAGGAATCCTGGGAAGGGCCGTGGAAAAGCACATCATACAGTTGAAATCAAATTTATTCAACCACCATTGTGTATTAGGCTTATTGGTAAATGGTACAATTTATCAGCTGTTTGCGATAAAGAAATTCAACACAAAATGTTACTTTTAATCACTACTGCAGTCTCACAATGATTCCACCCGTTTATGACAAGCATCTTCAGCCCTTGGAAATGATTCAACCCATTGTCTCAAGCACACTTATCAAGGGCTTTCTTAGTTCAGGTGTACTTGAGACAGAACCCATAAATACCTGGACTGGCTACGAGTTTTTTGAGAGGGACGTTCAAATTGCATGTTAGAAAAGTCAAAAGCATTGTCCAAAAAGTTCAGAGAAGAGGTCATTGAACAAGGAAAAGCACTGAATGTCCCTGCAGGCTGGATTGGAATTGTCAAATTTGCTCAGGTAAGAAGTAGTTTTGGTGGCCGCCATGATGAGAGCTGTTCAAATTCTCTAATCCTAAAGAAAACTGAAAATCAGCTCCTTTAGTTTAGGAACCACTGGACCATCCTTTATGAAAGAAAAGGAGATAATTCTATTCCACAATTCCTTGCGGGGGGAATATTTAAATAGTCACATATCATTCGGCCGTTCAGGAGAAATAACAATCATGGCCGAGAAACGCAGATCATGTTCGTAACTGTTATAACTCATTTACATTGTAACCTTGTTAATAAAGTAATATTATATGGACGAAGGCATCTAAGATGCTTCTTTGTAGTCCGTTTTCAGAGAAATTATTGTTTGGCCGCAGCAGACTGACGTCACTAACATGAGTCTCATGTCGCATCAGAACTACGTAGCTTAGTGAAAGTGGAGTCGGATTCTCCTTTCCTAACTCCTCATGAATTGTCCTAACCATCTTCCCTTCACCCAATGATGTTTTCTACAAAGTTCAAGGAATAGTCATTTCTTTGACAATTCAAATCCAGCCATGGTTAAAAGCATAGTTTGTGAGTTCAAAGTTGAAGGAACACTGGCTTCTGCGTGGCAGAAAGAGGAAGCTATCAGCGGCCGCCAGGATCCTAAGGAGGCAAGTGGTGATAAACCCTTGATTTCCTGAAAAACACCTGCAGCAAGACTTGGCAGCAGGCCCTCAGGTATCATTTTGCACAGTAAAGCGGATACTAAACACTGGGTTCCATTCCCGTACCCCAAGACGCACACCACTACTGACCCTAAAGCACAAGAAAGGTTGCTTCCAATATGCTGGAAACTATATAAATAAGTTTGGGTATTCTCTGGAGCGATGGAACTTTTGGGGCCAATGCATCAGCGCAATGTCTGGAGGAAGAAGAATGAAGCATGTGGACCCCATTAAAAATCTCTAGTGGGACTAGAAGAATTGCCATTGCCCACTGATTCCTTAGGAACACTGTCAGAAGCTGGTTTCTGGCTTTGCAGCCGGTCATAACAGCAGACGTAATGAAGATGCTTGAATCATTTTGAGACTGCAGTAATCACAAAAAGTATCTTTTTGTGTAGAATTAGGATAAATACCTTGTAATATCAGTGTCATTGAACTACTTAAACAGTTCTTGTGTAATTTGGTTATTGCAAAAGCTGAGAAATTGTATATTTTGACAAGAATTGTGGTAATTCAATGAAATCAAAGTTATATAAGGAATATGCACAACAACTCCCATTTCTAAAGTTAGCGTCCATAAGCTACAGGTGATAGCTGAATATGAAGGACAACCGGGTGGTCAAGAGTTAACTAATTTATAAGACATGCTCACTGGCATTCCATCCTATATGGTGGATTTCAGAAAACATCTATGCAACGTTGGAGTGGTTATGGCCTGCATGGCTGAAATAAAAATCAATTAAATTGGACTTACTTCTACTCTCCTGTGGTGCATGGGGATACAAGCAACCCCGCTAACATGGCCAAGGGAAACCGATGTGAGGTTGAATGGAAAATAAGGATTTGTCATGAGTGCTGTTTTTTTCTCCCAGAGACACCCTGGTTCTGTGCTTCAAACCCAGCACAACGAGTCCAGGCCAACTTGGTGTAAGCTGCATCATTTTAGATGGCTGACTTGTTTCTTATGACCCATAGTTGTCACCATAACAACCGCCATCTTTGGGACTAGTCAGATAAGCCAACCATGCTACGTTGGTTCTACTCCTACTCTCTGGGATCCACACAGGAAAACATTACGGCAACAACCTTGCAATAAACCTTAGTCAACCTAACATGAAGAAAATTGGATATCAAATTGTATGACACTCGTCAATCTCAAATACATTTTTTCAGTCTAACACACAATTTTACATATGATGCATCATGTCATATGTTTCCTGCAAGTTAAAATGGGTTTCACCACACAAACTACTACTACTAACATTTGTCAACTCGTGCAGAATAAAACACAATCATATCTTTACTTAAGACGAACAATGGTTACACGGTCACATTTAAGTTACAGCGTTGCCCAGAAATAGATTAACACTTCCGCAGTCTTTACCAGTGTTAGAGCTGCTGCATCATTTACATTAAATCACTTCCCCCTACAACTGTTTATTGTCCCCCTGGGAATGGAGCAGTATCCAAACCCACAAGCTGATCGCTCCTGTCAACACACTCACCTGCTCCCACCCGGGCCAGCTGCAGGTTACCGTGGCAACCCTGCTGTTTGGAGAGCACACAAGCTTTTGAAGGGGTTAGAGCGCAGCGCACAGAGGACGTCAGGGGATCTGCCCGCCTGCTCACAGCTTGACTACATCTCATCACATTTAATGCAGTAAGGCCGAGATCCTCCTTGTGGCAGTGGCAAGTGGGTGGCATCAAACTTGAGAGCCCCACCCCCTACACGGAACCCGCCGGTCCAAACCTAAAATTAGCCTCTGTAATAAGAAGACGGGGGCTCACGTGTCTCAAATAAAATTAAATAAAATTAAATAAAATTAAATAAAATTAAATATTTACAGCAGCTGACCTGTCGTACAAATAACAGTTGTTTCTAGGAAAAATTGGCTCCTCCCACCCAGCGTGCCGTCGTGACGCCGACTGATTTACTGGCGATTGCCGCTGCCTGCCACAAAGTTGCCACCCACTTGCCACTGCCACAAGGAGGATCTCGCTGTCACTCATTTAATGGGAACTTGATTTAAAGCTAAAGTAAAATCAGAGGGAGCTGAGAGTCCTATTGCATACGCTATTCTGTGCTGATCTGAGAAGGGATGTGTATGATTTTCTACCTCTCCAACCACACAAATTGTAGCTGAATGTTTTGTATTTAACAAACTAGTCTGGTGATATTGTATGTCATATGACTATAAATCCAGAGACCAGATCACACAATGTCTTTTTTAGTCTTTGTGTCTAAGCTCAGTGCTTCCTCCCTGTGGCTGGGGAGCAGACAAATATACCCAGATACTGAAAAACAGTACCGTGCAAAAATACTAGTAGAGGTCAGACTTAAAACATTTTATTCCCGATATATTAATAGCATTTCTGAGAATGGGTTTGTAGATACATTCATGGTTAGTTTTGTACAAGGGATTTGTTAACAAATATAACCAAACTCATCCTTTAATCTTTTTTAGCTCAACCACAATCTAACTTGTCTTGTTCAACTGTAATAGTAGGAGATGCAGTTCAAGCTTCATAGAAAGCAAGTAAGTGGCCCTGAGGTTTTTCCTGAGGTAGCCAAACTGATGAGGTGAGCCGTTGCAGATCCCCTGATCATATCCAAGTTCTTGGCTGACTAACAGAAGCAGAAGCAGGCGAGCAGACAAACAGCACAAGGTCAAAGTTTGTTTTTAATAATGTCTTTACAGTGGGATGGGAAAGACTGAGTTTATATAAATCTATATGTACAAACAATTATTCTGAATAAAAACAAGGATGTCATATAAATATAAAATACAATTTCTGTTCCGCAATCATATTAAAGAATATAGCTTTGACTAAGCCAGTGAGTGAATTATTGTAAAATATACATTTTGAATTGAAACAGTATAACATTTCGTTTTAACAGAAGGCTAATAAAAACTTGACATGGAAAACTTTTTACAGTGGACATTGAGTCCTTCAGACTACAGCAGAGACTGCAGTGTCTCATTGAATCAACTTACAAAGGCAATTTCAACAGAATGGCTTTTTGGGTGGGGTGTGGCCCCAAAATGGTATTTTATTATACAAACAAAGATATTATGAAATATCCATGAATATATTGTGTAATATCTATATCAATAATTAGTCAAATAATTTGGGTCAAGTGATTTTTTAGGTCTTTTAAGGTCAACGACTGATTCCACGGTTAGCTAGAGCAACGATGATGCTAAAGTACTTTTGAATCAACCGACTAGAGATCAGATTTAGTGCAGTAAAACACCATTACGCAGTTACAGCACAATAACTATACTTTTATTAACCCCAACCAAGCTGCACATGCTACATACTTAGGATTATTACTGGGCATCAAAGTAGAGAGCTATGTGAATAGCAGGAGCTAACTGGCTAATACAGCGTACTCTCTGCAGTGTTTGGATGTCAACAATGTTTCTCAGTGGTCGCTTAAAACAGTCAGCAGCTACCTCACAGCCCGCCTAGTCAGAAATGAGCGACTTTCATTAAATACAAGGAGCACTTTGTGTGTTTATGACCAACTAAAGCTAGTTCAGTGGTGAGGAGGCATCTTAACATAGTTGTCGCTCTACCTAACAGGCGTATCTAAAGTAAACTATCATGAAATAAAGAGTCATTAAAATAATTTTCCTTAACGACGAATATATTTTACACAATTTATTCATGGTATGTCATAATTGTTTATTTACACTTGGGGCTCCATATTAGAAGAAACATCAAGGTGAGGGTTAAATTATAGCATTGGAGGAACAGTCTTTTAGTCATATATTTTTCCACAGCTACAAGGGAATAAAAATGTAATTGTAGGTTATTTTTGCATTTGATTTCCTCCTAAGACGAAACTGATATTCATAAATCATGCAGACTCCTTTTTACTAGATTAGATCTTTATTAGAATGTTTGAGTGTCCCATTCTGGGCTAAATGTAGGCCTTGATAAGAGCAAATACAAATGATCTGAATGTTAAGGCATTTGTAGTTTGAGCACTACTACAGTTTGCTAAAAGCTCTGAAACACCATATCAGGGCAATTAGAATAATAATCAAATTCCAATATGTGTTTAGTTGCAGACGTTGACCTTCTGAGCAAGAAGCCAGACATAACGTGTGGTAGAAACAGCACACGCCCTCTGATGTTCTGCTAAATGTGGAGCCTCCAGGGAATCAATTATTTACCAATCAGATGAAGGAGAAACCTTTTAAACGATCAATGTCACTTTAACTCTGAATAATTGAATATCGATCTGACATAAAGCACATTTTCACCAAGCTAACCAAATTACGCCTCGGCTGCTTTATCTCTGAAACCAAAATAAAACAATAAATTAAAAAAAGGAATAATAATTTAATAGCCTGTTTACATTTATACAAACATGAAGTCAGCTGGTCAAAGGGACTAGCGACAACACAAAAGACTTTATACACAGCCTGGGGGGCGTTGTACCGTTTGGACACCTAACGCGTGGAGGGACATTGATTCAGCAACATCGCCCCCCCCGCTTCTAACAGTCAGCATGACAGGCATATAAAAATAAGCAGTAAGAGGCACTATATCACCAGTCGTGGTCTGTTACATCCAGGTTCCACATTTGTCTCAAGGCTAAAAATGACATTCACAGTTCAGTCTGGGCTTCCTTCTCTCTCTCAGAGGTCTACCTCCAAACACGCAGCCCAGAGTTCTACATGTCTCAGAGGAAGAGCTGCCCTGAACGCACAGTAGATCACAGGTTAAAGCTGGGTGAGCACAGCAAAAGGCCCACGGTCTCTGGCTGAGAAAGTAACGATCCGGTCTTATCAAGGAAAAGACATTTCCAGACAGTTTGGGTCATCTTTTGTCCTCCAAATAGGTTTGACTAACTTGACCAACTCATCCGAGTGCCCCGTTAGAGCTTCCATATGGTGATGTTGCCATGTCTAATAATCTAAGCGTGGTGGGAACAATGTTTTCATTTGAGAGTAAAACTGAAGTCTCCTGATTGCCGATTAAGTATTTGTCTGTAGTGTAAAATGACAAATATTTTATGAATGGATATTCTTATTTACCACTACATGATGCAGTTGTAAATAAGAATATACATCCAAAAAGCTTGTGATATACTATCAATGAGTGACATCTGTGTCCGTGAGGGGTTCACTCGTAGTGGTAACCCAAATATCACCTATTGTGCAATTAGACACTCACAAAGATACAGTCTAATCGGAGAGGAATCCTCCATGTGGAAGTCTGCGGGACATCACGTGAGCATCTTAAAACGAGAAAAACAAGCACGTGGTACCATTTGGATCGGGGTCCTTTGCTCCACGCACTCGTGTCACAACCAATGAGAACAGCTCTACCTCAGAGCTGGCTAAAGTAGGTAAGTTAAGTCCTCCCTCCCGTAGTTAACTAGCTTTATCAGTGAGGTACAGAGGAACAGAGTGCTGTAGTGTATTCTTTGTTTCTTAAAAGGTGCTCAGGCTCTCTAAGGCTCAGACACTCGACCAGTGCCAACACACACTCTGGAGGTCGGCTGTGTGTGTGTGTAAGTTCAGTCAGCGCAGAGAGCAGTTCATAAGTCACAGGATCATGAACCCACTGCGTTGCTGCTCTAGAGGAGCAGGTAGGAGTAGAGGATGTAGAGCAGGATCATGGCTGCACTGTAGAAGAGCAGGAAGTCTGCGGACAGCAGCGAGGAGGAGGACGAGTGGCGGGGGGATCCTTCCTCCCCCGTCTCCCCCCCCCTGGCAGCCAGCAGCGCCGTCACACAGCGCAGCACAGCAGGCAGCTTACACAGAAGCACATCAGAGGACGCACACACGTCCGTCTGGACAGAAGACGGACGACAAGACACACACAGGAGGAAAATACAAGTAGTTATATGAGGAGACAAGAGAAGGACAAAACAGAGTTAGGGTCGGACGGAAAAGGTGTTTTGAAGCCACTATCTGGCCCATTAATCCGTCCAACCCTGACAGGAATAATGTAGCAACATAACTGAGCTTTAAGCACATAGAAAATTATATTTCAAATGACAAGTAGGGATCCCTCCCACAACCCGGTTCTAAATCAGTAAAACGCAGAGAATTGATGCGGTCCGGAGCCAAGCGCTCTGCTGTCTACAGAGAATCCAGAGCGAGATGTCTCTGTGACAGGGTGAGACTCGCATCACGGCACAGAGTAGATCAACAGGTTTCCTGCAGTAGATGCTGAGGACTCTGGTTGTATCAAACACAATCAAAGAGAGGAACCAGCAGCAGACCACATGTGACCACAAGCACAACATCAGTGTGCACTAATGATACATTTTCTACTGGTGGGGGAGCAGCAGGTAACCTTAGTGATGATAGACCCAGTTTGATCATGCGAAAGACAATCAATCAACTAATGCTGAGCCGACAATCTATTCCAACAATTTGGGAACTTTTTGTATCGCTGTTCAAGAAAGCTTGTTAAAATACGAAGTTCATTTTTTTCACAACATAATCAAAAAGAACCGAAAAGAGTATCAATAAGGAACCTAACTGATAAGCAATAGAAGAGTACTGGTATGGATAAATGTTACGAGTAGTGCTGTAAGCTGTAATGGTGAACACAGGAGACAGAGAGCGTCCTCCTCACACACTATTTACCTCAGTGACTCCCAGCTTACGACAAGCAGCAATGAAGTTTTCCACGTTGAGTCGACACTTTGAGGAGCTCAGCTTTGGCTGAAAAAGATATTTAAAAACACATATTTAAAAACACATATTTAGAGAATTATTATTATTTCAGGCTTCATTTATAATTGATGATAAAAACACCTTTGACTACTTGTATGTTAGAATCCTTCCTTTTTTTTCATGTTTAAAAGTTGACATGATAAATGAGTACATCTACACAGACCTACTTTAGGGTCACCCAGACCATTTTGTATATTCCATGAAAACACTTTTATTTATCAAATTAATTGTAAAATGAATAGGAAATATAGTCAAGACTTTGATAGTTAGAAATAATATTTATTTTGTTCAAACTTTGAATGCGCCATTTGCAGCAATGCAGACCTTTGTTTGTTTGGATCACACAGAAGCACTGGAGTGATAGTTGCTGGAAATTAAATTAAAAACCGTTTCCACCTAGAATAGACCGCATTAACAATGTATAGAGTATATTTTTGATTAATTGATTGTTATCTTCATTGAAAAAAACGTGACCCTAAACTTATGAACGGTAGTGTACTACCGTGTAAAAGTTCTAGCTAATATTCAGCAACAATATGCTAATATATGCAAGAATAATAATATTTTATTTTCAGTGGGCAAAAGTGAGGAAGAGTCTGTTGAAACAAAAGCAGCTAGAGACCACACACTCTCCTTTGCCCAGGTTGTTAAATGTAAATACATGCAACTATCCTGTCCTTTTTATGGGGCATCAACTTCCAAAAAATGAAAAGCTTTGAGTACCGGTTGTGCCGGAAGTGAAAGCTGAGACGGGTCCGCTCAGATCCCTGTGACAGCAGATGTGTTGTGGGAGGTAAAAACCCGTGAGACAAAGCTGTGGTCCAAACAGGGTCAGCAAACAGGGGCCTGTATTCATTCAATGGAACCCTACAGCACAGGAGGTCACCTTTCTATCTTTGACCTTTGTGTTCCTTCTTTTAGGTTACACAGCTTTGTCTCAACAGCAAAGGAAATTATTCTAGACTGAAGTGATTAATACGACAAACATCTGGTGGGACATGAGACTAATCCTTGAGAGGGGAAAGGACTCACCACTGCTGGGGAGGGAATGTGGATGAGTGACACAGAGCGGGCTCGGATCTGATTGACCAGCTGACAGAGGACGGTGCCGTTGGATAAGGCCTCGCCCAGGTCCTCTGGTAGTGTGATCTTCAGCCGGGATTCCAGAGTCTATAAATGTAGAATGGAAAATAGTCTCATTCAGAATTACTTGAGAGTCTGCATGAATGTATCAAAATACGGGATATTCCTGGCTGGGGTTACCTTGCGTAGTTGTGTGATGTCGGGTCTCTCTTCTTTAGGGGAACGCAGCATTGTGCGAGACTCACTTCTGCCGCACTCCCCCAAGGCTGACCCTGACAGGAGGCAATGGAAAGCGTCAGAAGGCAGACAGCGCTGAGGGAAGGGGTGAAGGATGTGCCTGGTGCTGCTGTGTACCTGTGGGTTTGACGTTGCTGCGTGAGGAGGTGCGGAACAGGAAGCTGTTGGGTCTTTGGGCCTGGCCTGGGGGGGGGGACGTCTTCGGGGAGGAGGGGACATCTGACACTAACAGTGAGGTCAGCGGTACAGAGAACCAGATGAGAAGAAGCTTGAGAGGAACTAAGATCTGTTTACAAGATCAAACATTCATCTTCATAAATAATAAAACATGTGAATATTGTACTTTTGGTTCAACAACAAAAAAAGAAAGCTTCCTAAATGCAGTGTTTATTCCAGGTTTAGTGGAATGCCATGGGATAATTCAGCCCTAATAAAACAATACACAATAAACACAGTCCAACTTATTCAAGAAAATTCCCTGTCAAAGAATGAATAACCAGGACAACTAATCAGACTAAGAAACATATGGTGTAGTTTACAATGATCTAAGGACACAGTTTGACTGGTTTATGATCTTCTCTTCTCATAGCATTCCCTACATCTCAAAGTGCATCTTTGCTCCTCAATAAAAATATACTAAAAAGGAAGATTAGGTGTTAAAAGGTCATGATCATCAATATTCCACCTGGGCTTTTAAGTCAACATGAAAGTTCCTCAAAGACGATGCCAATTGGAGGATTGTTTGACACGATTAAAAGATTTTTGAGGAGCACTCTATATCATCATTATCCAAGTTTTGGTTTGTGTGCAGCCACTTTAAGTCACACTTATTTTGGATCACCAGTGAGGCAAAGGGACAGTCGAAGTCTCTGTCCTTCTATCATCTCCTAATAGCAGTGTCTCTCCTCCAGACAGGACCTATATTACAGGTCTTCCTATATGAAATCTTATAATGTAGTAGTAATACAGTAACTCCAGAACCTCCTTTGGCTCATGTTTTATGAAAAGAAATAATACAACTACTAAAAGGATAATGGGGAAAAATCAAACAAAGCTGGCAATAATTCTGGTTAAAGCAGCTTCACTAAAAACCATTGATACAAGCCATTGCTGAGCTTGGTTTTCTTCCGAAGATTCAGGCGCCATGAGTAAAATCCTTTATCTGCTTTCAATATATGTTCAAAAATACCAAGACCTCGACAGCACCTTGTAAAATAACATTGGGCAACACCCTGGACAGGTCCCCAGACTATCACAGGGTTGACATATGGAGGCACCTACGGGCAAGCTAGAGCCATGGATCACACTAAGCTGGAGAACACGGAACAAAGCCAGGCTGACGAGAGGAGAGCAAGCAGACTCCCCAGGAGGGCGTTCACTTTGGGAGCCCAAAACTGTGGTATATATTATACCTAAAAGTAAACTAAAGTTGCTTTAAAAGATGCGCGTGTGTGTGTGTACCTGTTCTGCTGTTGGAGCGTTCCAGAAGTGTGTAAGGAGACACTGAGCTCATCTGATCAGCACTCTAAAAAGAAAGAAAGAAAAAGGATAACCATTCAGATGTTCAACAACGGAGAACCGGCTGGGCTCTTTGGAGGGCAAGGGGACACTACTCACTGCACACCGCTGCCGGAGGCCTGGGGGGGAGCTGCTGTTCTCTGGAGATGCACCACTAGGGGGAGACGCACACCATAGATGGACCACAACAGAAAAACAACACTTGCACACACTCAAACTTCCCTCCATTTGTAATTCAGAGCAACTGAGGACATGTCAGGAGGACTGAAGGAAGTGGAGCTCAAAGAGCCTTTTGTCTGTGCTGTGTGCTGCTATACAGGCTCTACTTACGCTGAGCTAGTTCCTGTCTGTGCTGCAGTTGGCACATGACTTCCTGCTTTGGTGGAGGACTTTAACACACTGTAAAATTAGAGTTTTGACATGGAGAGCATATAATTAGTAATGGCAGTTGGAGGGGAGGAGCCTCTATATACTCTGTGTATAACACAACTTTTGAAAGCTCCTATTTAACGGTCATATTGATGTTGTTTCACAAACTTTCTCAGTCATAAAAGATTGACGAGTTCACAGTTAGAAATAGTTTGATAATGTTAAAATGTCAATATTTAAACAAGAGGGAGTATTGACCTGGCCTTCTCTCGCTGCTGCTGCAGACGCTCCCTCTCCTGCCAGATGAGGAGGGTGCCCGGCCTCCTCCGCTCCTCTAGGTTGGGGCTGGAGGGGGACAAGGGAGAAGAGGAGGCCGATGACGGGGGGCCCACCTCCACGTGGAGGCCTGACCTGGAGAAGAGAAGAGGCCAATAAGGCAAACAACCACAAAATATTATGATGTATGAAACGCATTATTTTACAAAAATTAATTTACAAAAAAAAAAAGCATTTCCAGAATGTTATTCTGAAGGGGTTGTTTAAATGTTAAAGTCTATTTAGAAAGTGCGTGTTGACTTTCCGTTTTAGGTCTCTGTATTCTATTTTTAGGAGTCCCAAAGGAAGTGTAGGAGGAAGCTCTAGAACATCCGCTTGTTCCAGCTGATGGTTCAAAGTTTGTAAAAAGGTAACAGGATTGTACCACAGATCAACCATATCTCACTGACTCCAGTCACTAGATCTAAATCTCCTCTGTATGAGGCTTTAGATGCTGAATGAATATACATCTTTGAGAGTAGTTACTAAAACTCATTCAATATGTTGTTTGTTTCTCCAGAAGCTGAAACAATGGTTCTGTGTCCCATATTAATATGTAGCCAAAGGCGCTGCGGAGACAGTTATCTTGGTAACGGTACAGAGGAGCAGAACGTTAGAAGCGGCGTGCACAGACACAATAAGCCGTGTGAAATATGCTTTACATAGCTGGTGTTATATATTATATATGCATTACGGTGTTGCTAGAGCTATTGCTTAACTGATTGGCACCGTCTCTTATGGACTGGGCTTCCCTCACATTCAAGAAGCTGCAACCAGAGGATGGTTTCTGCCTTTTCTTATTCGTAATAATTGTTCGCTCGCTCATCATAATCACAGGCATGCATTTTCCTAACCAAGTAGTTGACTAAGTTTCAGCACCATATAGTACTGTGAATTGACTCCCTCCAAATTTTGTTTTACATCAGCTTCCCATTAGACAATGGTGTTATGTTGCCACATGTCTGGGTGAGACAGCTAGTGGAGACTGTTAACTTCCAAAGATAACAGCACCCACAAACCCTCAACACGCAGAGTGTGACGAGCACAAAGAGTTATGGGAACAGCAGTCTATTGACTTTTCCCAGCTCTTCAAATACACTGAAGTGACCTTGTAAAACAAGGATGGAAAAGAGAAAAAGTGATGAAACATCCTCCGTCTTTGTCACTTAAGCACATAGTTTCCAACCAGAGCAGCCAACACACTGCGGAGCTTGGGGAGAGCATCAGGACAGAGAGGCGAATACAATGAAAGGTGGAGCGGAAGTGCCTTTCAGACCTCCGCACATCAAGTGTAAACAAATGAGAGGGTGGAAGTGGTCGGTACACATGTGGCACAAAGCGGACTCACAGATTAACCAACTTATTGTTCGGTTATGTATGTTATGTTATGTATTATGCTTTTAACGTTTTAAACTATTTTTGCGGTAAATTATTTAATTAATTAATTTCATCAAACATGTATTTCGGATGTTACTTTAAGCTAAAAGTTTGTGAGCCAACCAAATATTTCAGTTATATTTATTTTTTGGTTTTTACGTCAAAACCATTGTTCTTTTCTTAAACTAACAATACACAGTGGCATAGAACGGGTATATTTTACAATAGGTTAGACCCAACCTACCTGCCTATTGTTGTATCCTGGGTTTTGGACGAGGAAGAGCTCTCTTTCTGCTCCTAGAAATCAATGACACAATCAATAACCTATTTCTAAGCAAATCTTGAGAAGGCGATCTGACGAGTCCTAGAAAGACTGGTACCAGAAGAGGTGCTGCATCCATCCCAACGTCCTCATCCTCTCTTTTTGTCACACTGCTGTGAATGAAGTCCACATGGACCGCATCCCCATTCACTGCAAAGTGCAGAACAACCGTAAGGTTTTCTCCATGTGTGAAAAGAAAATCTGTGACTGCAGACACATACATTCGTTATAGAATAATACACTCATTATCAATGAGAACATGTCAGCCCTTCCTCACCTTTGTTTGCTTCCTCAGGAGACTCATCCTCTCCCCCCTCCTCCTCCTCCTCCAGGTTCCTCTGGTCTCTGCTGACCTCAGCCATGCGAAGGGAGCGCTCTGAGAAGTCATCTGCTGACTGCACACGCGGAGAGACGGAAGGCATTGATCTGAACGAGGTTGTTACCACTACAGGACAGGTTTTCCTATAGGATGCTTTTTTCACTGGTGGGATACACCTCTCAAACTGATCACCAGGGCGTCATCAGATTTAAATGCAACATTAGTACAACTACACACTTATGTTGAATGGACATTTAATGTGGAGCCTCAGGACATTCATTTCAGCAGACTGTCCAGGAGTTTTACCTCGTTCCCAGACCACCGCTTGCTGCCGCTGTCCACGCTGTTGAAGCCAGAATCCAGCCCTCCGAACAGCTCGTGGTCTGACAGACTGCAAGGAAACATGTAGAGCACACTTCGATAAGTAACACACACACAGCGTTGTTGGCAGACTGTGGTTCATTATCCTAAAGGCAGTCAGTAAATGGGGGTTTTCTTCTCCAGATCAGTCAGAGCTCTTCTGTCAAACATTATCTCTGTCCTTGGTCCTGTCTATTACATGGAAATGGCTCACTATGCAGCTAAAATGGGTCCATTCAAGTGTGTCAATGTTTGATAAGAACCTGCTTCCTAATAGTTAACCCTTTCACTTATCTTATCTCTTCATTTGCTGTACCTTCTGCCATTTATCCTTTCACCTCATGGAAAACATCCTATTTTACCAGACCGGCGGGTCCTCAAGTGCATGTTGTAGGGTTGCAAAAAATAGTTATTACCACAACTCCATTATCCTTTAAAGGGCAAGCTGCAGGAGCTACCGCTACCAGTAAACAGTACTTGTGTCTGTCACTTAAATGTATGTCAGAAAAGCAACACATGTATGTCAGAAAAGCAACACGTTGCTATTATTGTCACGTCTCTGTTGTCTATGTTGTAGTTAACTACCCGTTTTACCGTAAAACCATAACCAGAATATGATTTAATACAAGAGCCACTTTGGAAACAAACATACACCCATTAACTCATCCAAAACCTCTGATGAATACATTGTATGTCCATTACTTAATCTGCACAGCACTCTCATGGAGTATCTCTAGCCAAGTGATAGCTGTAAGACAGATTCTGTAGATTTATTTGTTCTTTCAGCCTTAACCCTGCTCCTTGACCATCTCCTCCTGGAGGTCCCTCTCTTGTCCTTACCAGTTTTTGAATCCAGTGGGCCTAAGGTGTCTCTCCAGCTCCTCCTGGCTCCTCTTGCAGGCCTCCATGTTGAGGTACTTGAAGATGTGGTATTTGCCCTTGGAGCAGATCTGCGCAGGTGGCATTTGCAGCGGGTTGTTGTCCAGCAGGATGCTCTGGAGGTGGCGCAGGTGGCGGTAGCACAGGGGCACGTGGGAAATGCGGTTACAGGAAACATCGAGCCGGACGAGGGGGAGCTCTGATATTTCTGGGTGGTGCAAAGAGATTAGAGGTGGAGGTTTCAGGGTCAGTGTGTTTGGGTCTCACTTAACTAAATCTTAAATTTCTTTTACACATACCTAAAAGCTTAAAATAATCACAACACTACTGTTCATCCTATTCCTGTAATAACAATTCAGAGGGCAGTGGGGGATGAAGGAGATTTAAAGCAGAAACAGTAGGATATTATAAACGTGGTTTTCATTAAATCGTTTGCATATAAATCACCTCAAACGACGACTGGTGGTTTTTGTTTTGCATGAGCCCTTTATATCTACATAGTCCGCCATGATTCTAAAGTATCCCAGAAAGGACACTGGATACTAAGAAGCTAACACTGGCTTTAGAGAGCAATATTGAGCTTTCTGTGTTACGTGAAGGCCTGTAGTTCTCTCTGCGCCTGCAGCCTTCAGCTGAATGAAACGGCATCCTGCACACTGCTCCCCTCAAAAGGGGCCTATACAAGTCAATTCATCACACTCATTGTGCATTCTTGAGATTTACCAAACATATTTTTCTATTTATATCCAATTCCCCCTTTTCATAAAACACATTTTAAATTCTTCATTTATGCGTTAACTTCCTTGCAAACGTTTAATCTGACAGTACAACAGGAATTGTTATCCCAACTTCCAGTAATTGTTTTGTCCACTTCTTTTCAATATTTCAACCATTTGAAATGTAATTTACATTTCCGCCTTATGAGCTTCAGAAGGAACCATGAATGGTGTTCTATTAGACTTGCAGTAAATCAGAAGTTAAATACTACATTTAAACCATATATAGTGCTTCACTTCCTCCACATTGTTATGTTACAGCCTTATTCCAAAATAGATTCAATTCCTTTTTATTCCACCCCATAACGACCAAGTGAAAAAACCTTGATGACATTTTTTTTAAAGGACGAAATACAACATGTACGTAAGTATTCTCAGCTTTCGCTCAAGACGATGTTGAAGCACCTTTTGTAGCCACCCAAGTCTTAGGTATCATGTTACAAGTCTAGGACACCTATTTTTGGGCAGTTTCTCTCATTCTTCTTTGCAGAACCTCTCAGGCTCCATCAGGGGACGGGGAATGTCGGTGCTCAGCCTTTTTAGGATCTCTCCAGAGATGTTCAATCGGGTTCAAGTCAGGGCTCCGGCTGGGCCACTCAAGGACATTCACAGAGTTGTCCCGAAGCCACTCCTTTGTTATCTTGGCTGTGTGCTTCAGGTCGTTGTCCTTTTGGAAGATGAACCGTCGCCCCAGTCTGAGGTCCAGAGCGCTTTGGAGCGCTCATTCATCTTTCCCTCAATCCTGACTAGTCTCCCAGTTCCTCCCGCTGAAAAACATCCCCACAGCATGATGCTGCCACCACCATGCTTCACTGTAGGGATGGTATTGGCCAGGTGATGAGCAGTGCCTGGTTTCCTCCAGACATGACGCTTGGCATTCAGGCCAAAGAGTTCAATCTTTGTTTCATCAGACCAGAGAATTTTGTTTCTCATGGTCTGAGAGTCCTTCAGGTGCTTTTTTGCAAACTCCAGGCGGGCTGTCGTGTGCTTTTTACTGAGGAGTGGCTTCCGTCTGGCCACTCTACCAAACAGGCCTGATTTGTGGAGTGCTGCAGAGATGGTTGTCCTTCTGGAAGGTTCTCCTCTCGTCATAGTGCAATGCTCCATTAGGTTCTTGGTCACCTCCCTGACCTGATCCAATTCCTAGTACCTCATGGCTTGGTTTGTGTTCTAACATGCACTGGTCACTGTGGGACCTGATACAGGCAGGTGTGGGCGTTTCTCATCATGTCCAATCAACTGAATTTAGCACAAGTGGACTCCAATCAAGTTGTAGAAACATCTCAAGGATGATCGGTGGAAACAGGATGCACCTGAGCTAAATTTTGAGTGTCGTGGCAAAGGCTGTGAATACTTATGTACATGTTATATTGTCGTTCTTTATTTTCATTAGATCTGCAAAGGAAAAACCTTTTTCACTTTTCATTATGGGGTGTGTAGAATGTGAGGAAAAAAATGAATTCAATCCATTTTTGGAATAAGGCCGTAACATGACAAAATGTGGAAAAAGTGAAGCACTGAGAATACTTTCCGAATGCACTGTAGCTCACATTATCACCATATAACCTTTAGAGATTTTACATTAAAATCCATAATGCACAGAGTGCAATTACATTGTGGTGTTGGGTGTTCATTTGTCATTGATGCTATTGTTATAGATGCACTGTGTGTAAAGGGTGTGGACTAAGAGACTGCTGAGGATTCTGGGGTTACATTACATTACATTACATGTCATTTAGCTGACGCTTTTATCCAAAGCGACGTACAATAAGTGCATTCAACCATAGGGTACAAACTCAGGAGAACAAGAAACAAGAAAGTGCAATTTCCTCAAATAAGCGAATTTACAATTTGCTATAGATGAGTGACGTCACAAGTACAATTTAAGTGCTACAATTTGTTAGTCTTTAGTCGAGGTAGAGTCTGAAGAGGTGTGTCTTTAGTTTGCGGCGGAAGATGTGAAGGCTCTCTGCGGTCCTGATGTCTTCAGAGAGCGCGTTCCACCATTTCGGCGCAAGGACAGCGAAGAGTCGAGACCTAGTCGAGTGTTTTGCTCTCAGTGAGGGAGGGACGAGTAGTTTTGCAGATGCAGAGCGGAGAGTGCGGGTTGGGATGTAGGGTTTGACCATGTCCTGGATGTAAGCTGGACCCGATCCATTCACAGCATGGTACGTGAGCACCAGTGTTTTGAACTGGATGCGGGCGGCCACCGGTAGCCAGTGAAGAGAGCGGAGGAGTGGAGTAGTGTGGGAGAATTTCGGAAGGTTGAAGACCAGTCGAGCTGCTGCATTCTGAATGAGCTGCAGAGGTCGAATGGCGGTGGCAGGGAGACCTGCCAGGAGGGAGTTGCAGTAGTCCAGGCGGGAGATGACAAGAGCCTGAATCAGTACCTGCGCTGCCTTCTGAGTGAGAAGGGGACGTATTCTCCTGATGTTGTAGAGCGTGTATCTACAGGATCGCGTTGTCGCAGTGATGTTGGGAGTCAGGGAGAGTTGGTTGTCGAGTGTGACGCCGAGGTTCTTAGCAGTCGAAGTGGGCGTTAGCACAGAGTTTCCAAAGTTGACTGTCAGGTCCTGGGTAAGCGAGTCTTTTCCGGGAAAGAGAAGTAGTTCAGTTCAGGTTAGTGGAGTTCATAGAGGAGCAGCATGAGCTCAGGTAGTCACACCGGGGGCTTTAACAGAAAAGAGCAGACTTTAGGTCAGAAGATAGATGAATGTGTCTCTACCTTCAGGCAAAGTGGTGAGCTGGTTTCTCCTCAGGTTCAAGTCCCTGAGACATTCTAGCTGGCCGAGCTCTGCTGGCAAACACTGCAGCTCGTTACAGCTTAGATCCTGACGGACAGAAAGAACACAGCGATCAGACACTGACCAATGACAGGATAGTATCAGTTTGTCAGACCATGAGGCCTCTCGATGTTGCTGCTTCTATACACAGAAAGATTGAGTGTATTGGAGATACACATACACGTGTGTGTGTGTGTGTGTGTGTGTATTTATACATCGTACCAGCTGTCGGAGGTGTGTGAGGGAGAATATGGAGGCCGGCAGTGAACACAGCTTGTTGTTGCTGACTACGAGCACTCGCAGGAGGGGAAGCTGGAACACCGACGGGGGCAAACCAGACAGAAGATTACGACTGTGGAGACAAGAGCACAAAGTTATTGTTATTAATCCATCTGAGCCTGATCCAATCGCTCGTTCATTCCTGTTCAAACCCTCAACTAAAGTGAATTGTTTTAGACATTTTCTCACAGAGCTAGCCTATAAACACAAAGCAGCGTCTTTGTTCTTTTTTTATTGAGCAGTATATTTGCTTTAAGCTTACACTATTGCTGCCTGTATTACCAGCCACCTGGAGGACTTATCTGGTCTCCTAGCAACAGTGAAATAATTGCATTCTGTTGTTGTAAGACAGTTTGGACAGGATTTCCACTATAAACAAACACTAAGTTCAGAGGCACTACGGGCTCCAGCAAACTGTGAAGGCAAAGACTGATGAACGTGTTGCGTTCAAGTGCTACTTTTAAAGGGTAATCCTTTTTACAGTCAAACTTTCTGGTTAAACTGTGTGGTTGCATCAGCCATCTTTTATGGAGTGGTCTTCTGGAGCATCAGCATCTCTACTGTCGACAGAATGACCTCAAACGAGTGCAAACTGCGATTTTGTTACTGCTTATTTATAACTTTTTGATGTGGTTGTTTTGCATAATGTTGACAGCACTTTACCCTTTGCTGATTAAATGCTGTGAATTTCCACAATTACAGTATCTTATTACAACTAAATAATCAGCTAAAGCAGCAGTGGTCCGCAAGCAGGAGAAGGCATCATTAGGGCGTGTCCAGGCCCTTTTACCCTTTAAGGACTGTAACTGGACAAACTACGATGGAATGGGGGGAATATACGTGTTGCATTACCTGAGGTTGAGGTAGGTGAGGGCCTGGAGGTTGCCCAGGCTGGAGGACAGTGAACGCATTCCATTGTGGTAAAGGCTCAGCGTCTCCAGAGAGATGAACTGACAAAGCTCCTCCGGCAGCTCACAAAGGCGGTTCTTAGACAGATCTGAGAGACACAAAAGGACCAGACATTAGACAGGTCCATCGGAGGGTTTTCTAGAGTGCATACCAAAACATTTACCACTCTCTCTCCTCATGTTCACAGTCTCTGTCAACTGTTAAATAATGGCAATATTCCATAAAACATTATGGGATAAAGAATGAGAGCTTTCACCCAAAATACGTAACAATGCCAAAGCTAGTAAATGGACTGTACTCTCATATCTCTTAAGTCTTCAGACCAGTCAAAGCTCTTTTACATCACATGCCATCATTCAACCATTCCCACCCATTAATATAAATAAAGTTTTACTCTTATTCAATTATATAATTAATAAGGTGAATAAGATGCACTTTCATTTAGAGCAGGAAGAAGTTGTTCATTCACAGTAAATATGCAGCGTTTCCCCCATCATTATAACAGGTTTTTTTTTTGTGTGTGAACGTTATAATACATTATATTGAGAATTGTTCATCGTGAGAGATGTTAGTTGTTGTCCTCCGGCTTCTGATCCAACAATGCCTTACATGCTCCCTAAGCCACACCCACTTTTGGGCAATGGAACCATGCACGATTTCACCAAATTCTTGTATTCACTTCCACTCTGAGGAACAGGACTTTGCTTAAGATAAAGTGAAAGTGCTATTTTACAGGGATTTTAATGCTCTTAAATATTATCTCCCAGCATCTTCTCGTTTTACCCCACTCCCTCAAAAATGCCCCACCTTCCCCTATCCTAATGACAGATGAACTGAGTCTGCAGTATCGACTCCTCATCAACATACCCGCCGTAACACTCAAACTGTACTTCACGCTGCGTGTGGAATACAGAAGAAGTGAGCGTGGGGGCAGCAGACACAATCAAGCATCTATAGATGGTCTAAACAGCTCCATTAGCACAGCAGCATTAGACGATGCTCTGTCAATGGCAGACAGCTCGTTATTGATTGCTGTTGGAAGCTGCAGGACTGGAGGAGGAGGCCCTTCCCTCTTTGTTGTAAAGAGAACATGGGGTTAAGATGACTAATTTACAAAGAAATATTTCTATGACTCATTCATCTATAATGTTTGATGGGCTGATGATGACGACAGGAAACAGCCACTGATCAGACATGCTAAAAAAAAAATGGTGCAGGTTCATACGCATCATTGAGTTGCGTGAGTAATAGCATTTATGGCTTTTTCATTATGACCACTTCTGAAGTATCCTGGGTTTACAGTGGACTTAAAAACATTTGGGGGTTTTTCTGGTTAAGATCTCTTTACAAGATTAGCACAGTTTTCAGAAGGTTACATTAGCGCTTTCCCCAAGAGACCTTCAGTTTTGCTTTATCCATCTTATAGCCACTATAACAACTATTAGTTGCTTTACAGCAGTGGTTCCCGAACTGGGGTGGGCCGACAAGGGGTTTTCGGCTTAAAAAGAAAAAAAGAAAAAAAAAAATGATTAAAAAAAAAAAAAAAAAGACTGAAGAAGTTTGGGAACTACTAGTTTACAGGAAATATATTCCTTTTCTGATGCTTGATCTTTTTTAGTAGTAGTTAGTTTTTGGAGCAACAATGTCCAGTCCTTGAAAGTTGGTTCCAGCATCTCAGGTGTGATGATTTGCTGCTGTTTTTTGTCTCCTGAAATAGTCTAATAAAATAATTTTATATGTTGTGGTTCTGTGCGTGGGTCAGTGCGTGCAGTGAATGTGAGCAGATGGACACTTTACAGTAGCTTCAAAGCCTGATCTTCCTCCATCTCCACTGTCCCATAGCTGGAGGGGAGCTGTCTGAACAATAGATGGGGGTGGAAGTAGTAATGTGTGCGCATGTGTGTGTGTGTGTGTGCGCGCGCTCTGGGGGAAGGAGATGTTATTCTCTTTACAGATATCTAGGCGGTCCAGTTTGGATTGAAAAGAGGGAGATGGTTCAGATGGAACTTATTTATGCTCTGAAAGACTGCTGCCGAAAAGTGCACACACATTTGTAATAGTATTATTTTGAGTACCTCAAAACATCTCCAGTCATTAACTCCACTTAACGTGTTCCAGCTCTTATCTTAACCTTAACGCATGCCTAACCTGCCTTAAATAATAATAATAATAATAATAATAATAATAATAATAATAATAATGCACATACTGTTTTTCTGTTACTTTTTTTTTACCCAGAATACATGTTAAGCCAGACCCCCTCCCAGCATCATTGGAGAAGCATGCGCTGTGGAATGGACACTGGCCTGCCACGAAATAGACGCTTGATGGTTTAGAGCAAGCTCTGTCAGCTGCACCAAGCAGCATCGTGAGGAGGAGGCGGGCCGGCCGAGATCCTTCCAGGTATGGCGCTGACTCAAGGTTGTCTACATTCAGCTGTCACAGTTCACAACTGGCATGATAGTAGTGACGATACATATTCAGTAAGGCCGAGATCCTCCTTGTGGCAGTGGCAAGTGGGTGGCATCAAACTTGAGAGCCCCACCCCCTACACGGAACCCGCCGGTCCAAACCTAAAATTAGCCTTTGTAATAAGAAGACGGGGGCTCACGTGTCTCAAATAAAATTAAATAAAATTAAATAAAATTAAATATTTACAGCAGCTGACCTGTCGTACAAATAACAGTTGTTTCTGGAAAAAATTGGCTCCTCCCACCCAGCGTGCCGTCGTGACGCCGACTGATTTACTGGCGATTGCCGCTGCCTGTCACAAAGTTGCCACCCACTTGCCACTGCCACAAGGAGGATCTCGCTGTCACTCTACATATTGGACTACAGTGCATCGGAAAAGTATTCACAGCGCTTCACTTTTTCCACATTTTGTTATGTTACAGCCTTATTCCAAAATGTATTAAATTGATTATTTTCCTCAACATTCCACACACAACAACCCATAATGACAAAGTGAAAACTGTTTTTTGCAATTTTTTTCAAATCTGTTAAAAATAAAGAACGAAAACATAACATGTACATAAGTATTCACAGCCTTTGCCATGACACTCAAAATTTAGCTCAGGTGCATCCTGTTTCCACTGATCATCCTTGAGATGTTTCTACAACTTGATTGGAGTCCACCTGTGCTAAATTCAGTTGATTGGACATGATTGAGATAGGCACACACCTGTCTATATAAGGTAGCACAGTTGACAGTGCATATCAGAGCATAAACCAAGCCATGAAGTCCAAGGAATTATTTGTAGACCTCCGAGACAGAATTGTATCGAGGCACAGATCTGGCAAAGGGTACAGAAAGATTTCTGCAGCATTGAAAGTCCCAATGAGCACAGTGGCCTCCATCATCCGGATATGGAAGAAGTTTGGAACCACCTGGGGCCTCATTTATAAACGTTGCGTACGCACAAAAGAAGGCGTACGCCACTCCCTACGCAATAATTGGTATTTATAAAAAGCAAACTTGACGCAAAAATTCAAGATCGGACCCATGCTTACACACAAAAATGGGTGAAATGAGAACCGTCGGCAAATGTAAGAAACACGCAATCGTCTGTGAAAGTGTGTAAAACTACTGTTGTACTATTGACTGTTGTAAAAGAAATGCCAATACTACCTCTCATAAATAACACGAACACCCATTTGATCAATCTGCACCGTAAAACAAACAAATACAAATTAACACATTTTCAAAAAGAAAAGTGAAATATGTTCTGCAATAATATTGGCACGTTATGCAATTCATCCTCAAACCACAGCTGTTGCTTGTCATGTGCAATCAAATAAAATAAAATAAATTTACATTATTTTGTAAGTCTTACATGAAAGAAGCCTTTTTCCAAATTCTTCCCCAAAAAGCCAAATTGTATTGACCAGGATTTCATGTAAAAAAGGCAACAAAAGGGGAACATCCTTTACAGGCACTGTAAATGAGAAAGAAAGAATTTACAAGAACTTAACTAGAGGCCAACTCACGTGCTTTCACCAGAGTTTACCAACAAATAAGGATGACGGGAACAGCGAGAAGAGATAAAAAACTGTGGAAATAAAATCCCCAGTGAGATCTTTGTAGGGAGGATGAAAAGGTGGAATCCATAATTACGTTGGATGAGGAAAAAGGCTGAAGCACATTTCAGCATCTCGGGTTGGGTCTACTCATGTTCTCTCTGAGCACAGAAAACACCGGCTGTAAGATCCCAACAAGTGTTGTTGCAACACGCTCATGACCCACACAGCAGCAGTCGGCTGGATGTCATCAAAGGCCAAGCCCATGGATACAGTAATGGTGAAACGGCTTCACGATGTAGTTAGTTCAGATTTATAATCTCCATCACTGGCCTCTAAATATTATTATTGAGTGACAATACAATCTCAAAATAAAACCATAGCACCAAAGTGCTACACTGTTGACTAACTTTTTTCAGACCTTTCGTTTGTGTCACAGTCTTCATTGGGGATGGACTGGATGCTCACACCAACACACTAGGGATGTGCATCTCCATCACTGAGGACGATGCGATACACATCTTGATGCACTGCCAACGATCCGATACATTAAAGATACATAAAAGCAGCTACTAATGCGATACGATACGATTCACCCCCATTGCAATGCAGTGCGATTCGACACGATGTGATTCGACACGATGCGATTCAACGAGATGCGATGCAAAATAATATAATTCTGTGCAATTTAATATGGTACATAATGATTTATTTATTCTTCAGACAACAAATAATAAACAAGATCTCTGACAAAAGATAACATGTATGTGTATATGTGTACGTGTTAAGTGTTCTCTTAATGCAACTTTTTTTAATTATACCTGGCAGTCACAACTGAATTTGCTTCATTCTAAACATATGGATCAGGTTAATTGGGGACTTTAAATTGCCCGTAGATGTGTGAATGTGAGTGTGAATGGTTGTGTGTCTCTGTGTAGCCCTGTGATTGGCTGGCGACCAATCCAGGATGTACCCTGTCTATCGCCCGAAGTTGGCTGGGATGGACTCCAGCCCCCCCGCGACCCTGTGTGCAGGATAAGCGGTTTGACAATGGATGGATAAACATATGGA